CCAAAACCCCAAAACCCCAAAACCCCAAAACCCCTGACTTTTTGACTGGGTAGACTAACAGTATTAAATTTGAAAATATAAATATGAAGAAGGGCATTCAGTCGCAGAAAAATAAGGATGACAAGAAAACCACTCGCTCTAAAGGATCTCTGTCTGGTACAATTACAACTAAGAGTGATGTAAGCCAAGTGGAGTCCATCACATCGACAATGTGAAAGAGAGCAATGAAAGGGATGTATGCAAGCAAATAAGACCAATAAATCTAATAAGAATTTTTCTAAAAATAAGGAGAATCAATCCTTTATTACATATAAATCATTGAACCAGAGAATCATTGGACAGAGCAAGTCAAAAGCAAGTCAGCACAAGTCAAAGCTTGGGCATCCCATCTCAAAGAACCCAGTTTTTAAAACAAAGGTGATCTCCCAAAAGAAATTTCGGACAAAGCAGAATTCTCCGACAAGGAGAGATCCCTCCTTAGAGAAGGATAGCGTAGGTTTTAGATGTTTATCTCTATAGCTGAAATCTCATCAAGAGCCTGAGATGTACTTCATCCATAAATCACAGCCAAGTGAGTCTAAAGTGACCCAAAGTAGCCAAAAGGTGCAGAATAGTTTAAAAATGCTGAAAATTACAAATAAATCACCCAACAATTTCACTGCAGATCCCCAGAAAGAGATCAATTTCAATGAGATGAGGAATAATTTTATCCACAATTTGGAGCTTCAAGAAAGTGCGCTGAAGGATAGGTATAATAGACAGAATGAACTACAGGGAAGAAATACTTCCCCACCGGTAATTGGGGATGAGCATAAGCCACTCAAGTTACTATATTATCATAAAAAGAATAATAGTGGGTGCCAGAATAAACCGATTGTTGCATGAGCATTGAGCAAATATGGAAGTATGTCCATTTAGTTTTAACCTGAAAAAGTAAAAATTATCTTACCCTCTGCTAATCTGCATCAGTCCTATATTTCTGTTGATCTAAACAGTCAAATAGGTCGAAATCAAATTTGATTTTTAAATTAAATCCAAAATTTTAAACATTGCTCTAAACCTGTCATAGAAAAATTTATGAGACAATCTCTTGACTCAAATGACGAAAAGGAATCATACCATGATTTAAGAGCAAGCACGAATGAAAATTTAAATGATGATTACAAGTCAGCTAACTCAGCTTATCATAAGAGGAGGGTTAGTAATAAAATATGGCCTACCAAGAACCTAACCCAGGCAAATTCTCCAAAACAGTACTTTCATCAAACTCCGACATATGGTACACTGCTTTGGTAATTTCTAGAGGAAAATATTCACAACTTCAAAACTCATGAATACAAGTCTAGAGAGAGGAAGGCAGGAAGATCAAAGTCCAACTCCTTAAATCCTCAGAAGAGTCACACTGAGAGAAATAGTAATGTTAATAGCTTAAATCTAGAATGGGATAATATCACCTCTGGGCAGATGCCTCTTCCCCAATCATTAACTGAAGTTCAGCTGGTTAAGGAGTTCAGAGATTTCACTGATCTTCACGAGAATGGAAACTCCAAGCTGTACCGTAGGCCTGAGTCTTATAATGAATCATATAAATACTCAACTGAAAATTTAACAAATGATCAGTCAATTGTAAAATCACGGATTAATCCTTTAAAGAACAATATTCAGCAAAGTAATGAAAAGATTAAGTCTACACATGAGGAAAGATACGAAGGTTCTACCCGATCTATTGAGGAAACACCTTACTATGCGAATAATTTTGAAAATACTACAGAAGAGAAGGAGAAATCTGATAGCCACAGCTCTCTGAATGCTAATGAAGAAAATTCTCATAACTTTATCCCTTTTAAAGATTTTGATGAAGGAGACCATGATCATCAGATATTAGCTCATGCTACCTTTGATAAAACTGGATTTTGTAATCCTCCTACTGTATATAACAGCAAGAATCCTTCTCACAACACTTCAGTAGAGACGGTTGTTAATCAACAGAAGACTGTGCCACCTCCGACCTTCTTAGGGGTGATCCAAGAGGCCATAAAGACCTTCTCTAAAGTTCCAACGAGTAAGCAAGTGTTTGAGATGAAGCCCAAACCAGAAACTAGCGGCCGCCTTCAAGAGCTATTGGAGGAAAACTACGAATTAAGGGAAGATAACCAAACTTTAGTCGAAGAAAATGATAGCTTGAAAGAAGAACTCCAGATGAAAGACAACACCATAAGAGAACTTAATGAAAAGCTCCGAAATGTTCGAATCAGTCTTAAAGAATGTGAAATTAGGCTCAGTCATACCACCCAGATGTATGCTAAAGAAAGAGATGAGAAGGAGAATATTTATATCGCCTTTAACAGAATTTTAAGCAATTTTACAGAGAATGAAGATAATTCACAAAAATTTTTGCAACAAAATTTGCTATATGGAAAATCTAAAAATCAAAGTAGGCTTGTTGAGAGACCTTCTTCATCAGAAGACTATTCCTCTAATCTCGGAAGATATCCAGAAGAGGATGAAAGCTACTGAAGTAAAGACTTCTTGCCCAACAGGAGGCATTCAAGTTCAATAGTTAATACCTCAGGTATTAACGCAAACCATCGGACTGTTCATACGAATACTTCTCATCTTGTTACAAACGGAGTTGAGACTACCTCAACTGGAATTTTGAACAACGAGTCTTATGATTTTAACCCAAGAGATATGGAAGAAATGCACTCAATGCAATTTAAATAATTTAATTCAAATTAATAAATATTTTTAGGGGTTTTGGGGTTTTGGGGTTTTGGGGTTTTGGGG